ATAATTAGCAAACAAACAATCATAGGACCCTCTCTTGACTAATGCCTAATAGCGGGAATTTTCCATATAAACACCTGAAGAATAAAAGTTCCTTTTATGGCCATCAAGGGAGGAAATTGAGATGCACCCAAACCAGCAAGCAGCTACATGTACATGCACTACAGAAAGAAAAGTTAACATTATTATCACTGACCTGACTTTGTTCAGGAGAACACTTGTTCACTATGGATGACTCACAGAATGTGTTAATATACCACTGAAACGCCTGTTCACTGCGAAGATTAGAATTCACTTGTGTCGCTGTCATTATAAATGCCAACACCTCTTTCAGTTTCTCTCCTGGTATGCTAGATGGCAAAGGAATCTTCCCTACCTCTGTAGAACTGTCTTCATTCACCATGGCAATTAAGAGTTCTTTAGTTGTTGCAAAATCCATTGTTGCAAGGGTACATTGTGTTAAAGGTGTAGTGCCCCTTGAATCTAAAAGTAGGAGATCATGCTGACCTTCAATGTATACAAGTGAGTTTATTAAGGATATTTAAGAGCCCCTCCTTACTAAGAATATTGCATGTTGTAGTCGGGTTTGTATGAGTGTAGTGTTCTTTCTGTCAATTAAACTTTTACCATTAACGATGAATCAGTTCCTTCATACTAACCTTGGGGAGTATAGTATTTATCAATTTTCCTTCTACTTTTGGTTACCCACTATATATACATGCAGAGTTGCCATGCAAGGTAACCCACTATCACATCATTTTGTTGATCAATTTGCCTTACATTGTGTTACGCACATTAATTTTGATATATTTTAATGTTAATTTGCACACTTTAAGTAATAAAATTATCATTATTACTACTATTAACTTGCAGTTGAAGAGTAGCACTGTAACAATATAACTGACCTTTAAAACCTGTCTCAGTCAAAATGCTAGCAGAAATGTTCACTGAGGCTGGCAAATTCAGCAGATGTAGGGCTTGTTCCATTTTCCCTGCCTTGGCTAGTAAAAGCACAAACTTCCTTTTGTAGTGGGTAATGTTTGCCAGGAACTTTTCAGCTGTTAAAGGTACAGTACTTCCAAAATTGTAAAAGGAAGCAATGCGGCTCTTTTCCAATGTCTTACAACCGATCATGTAGGATAGTGCATCAGAAAACCTGGTATTTGAGAGAACAAGCACCACTATTAGAATTACAGTCATTATGAAACTATTCCCACATGGAGTTACAGTTTTAGTTTCAGTTCTACTCAATTATCCTATTTTGAATGCCCTGTACATGCACATAACAAAATTACAATATTGGAAGAGAAATGATCACAAGCAATGTTCTTCACCCCAAAACATAAAAACAGGGACTTGACACAGAGTGGACACTGGACAAACATACTTGTGGGCTGACTGATCAAACAGACATACATCTAGTGAGTCTTAGAGCAACCTCATGGTATGAATTTTTGGCACCCTTGACCTCACCTATGATCTGGCTTTCTTTGGAGAGTTTTTTTTATCATGGGCAACACATGCTGGCACAATTATTGTGTTTGTAAGCGTTTTGATGGAAAAAAATTGTCTTAAATTGTGAATGTGGGAAGAATTACTTAAGATACTGGCATTGGTTTGCATTGTCCAAATTTGAGGGATGGAGATGTGGTAGTGAAGCATTAATGGCATTTTTAATTACTGGGTTGTTCAGGCAATCATAATTGATATGTGGAACTCATCAAAAGGAGCGATACTTTAAGGTAGGCAATTTTCTTGTTTTTGTGGGAACAATTAATTGTCATTGTTCCCAAAAGTCTCAAGAGGCCCCATAGCAAAGTTTTTGTGGTTGTGGGTGGAACAATATAAAATCAACAAATTTTCACGCTAACCAATTTGCAGTAACCTTAAGCTCACTTCATATTCGTGGTGTTTGGGTCTTCACACACGAATCGTTCATGTTATCATCACTTTTAGGACTCAGACACCCATTTCTCTGCAGTCGGGTATTCTGTAGCATATTTCCTTTCCATTTTTGGCTCCACAAAGGTATGTTTTGATCAAGTTTGGAATCAAAAAACCATCACGCTTCAACGGACAGGATGCCATTTTGAATCTGTCCAAGTAGTTCAGCATATTCTCGCCTTTGTACCACCCGCCAAATATATGTACACCGTGACTTTGAACAGGTAAACTTCTCAGGGAGGGGAGAAAAAGTATTTAATCCAGGTTTAATGCATAAATTAATATCTGACAAAGTGAGTGAGTGACTTTTAATTGAATTTCACCCCCAAATGAATTACAAGTCATACCATGAGGCAAAAATGACTGTGTAACATACAAACAGATGCACAGCCACACAGACAGACATACAGATAGACACACAGACTGATTGACTAACACAATATGCCTAAGAACACAATAAACTTGTACACAAAATGTACCTTTGTTTCTTTTCTAGGAAGGCTAGTCGAGCTTCAACCACTTCCTCATCTTCTATAATGAAATCATTCTTCAATTTCCCATCGAAACATTTAAGAAGTAAAGCATCATTCCACTTCTTCATTTCAAGAATCCTACAACAGACCATGTAAAAATTAGTTCTTACTAACCGAGCGGGAGGTCTGTCTGGGAGAATCTTGACCGAGGTCGCCAGTACAGACCAAACGCAGTGAGGTCTGTGCCAGCGACC